GCCAATTAATCTATCGTAATCTGAACTATTGAATGACCCAATTTGACTATGACCTTTCTTAGTCAATTGTAATTGTCCCTGTTATCTTTATTCATAAATCTTTGTATTATTATTATTATTATTATTATTATTATTATTATATTATTATTATTATTATTATTATTATTATTATTATTATTGGTTAAACATCATTAATCTCCCTATACATGATTCATTCACTTTGCATTCATCCCTCTGTATTACGTCTTACTTATTTGATCGAATTGTAATTGCACTATTATTTCTCTCTCACCCTATTTGACCCATATTTATTCTGATCATGGATCTTAAAATTTCATTTAACATATACACAGATTCAAGTTAACATTTTATATTAGTCATATTAACATTAACAATTTTATTGTATTTTGTTTATCACAATCCCAAATTCACATGCTCTAAACGATGTACTTTACCCTTAACTTGGCCATTTTTCGGATTAATAATTTGGATATATAATTGTAGAACCTGAAGAGAATTTATCGAAAAGAATATTCTTCGTTCAAATATTAGTCTTTTAATATGACGGGGATTTTTAAACGATTAAAATGTTGTGAACAACCCATTGCGTTGAAGGTGCTCAATGAGTTCCTGAAGTATAACGTAAAGTTCACTGAAACGAGAACTACTATTGAATTTATCAATAGATGCATCGAATCAGGTCATTATCCTAAATTGTACTACACGTCACTTCGACGAAACGGGGTCTATCCCAATAGGAAAACACTGAAACGCCACGCCTTAAACCAGATTGACGCCTTGCATTCAGACATAAATGATATGCAGATGAACGTTTCTCGCAGAAAGTATGCAGTAGATGACCTAACTGATGATTTGAAAATACCTTTTATGGACTATGTTAAAAACCTTATGGATCAGAGATCAGGGAAGAAACTCATCCAGCTACTGAAAGGTCTGGAAAATCAAACGGTCGAAAGCAAATTTCCATCAGACTGTAAAAGGTATGTACATAATTTATCAAGTGTCGAACTAGATAAAGAAAATCTAGAGGTATTATCCTTAGGTCTAAAATTCTGTGATACTCGTAATAACTGTAACCACATCGATACAGATATACAGTTCGAGAATCTTTATAATCAGACACGGGATTTAGTTGTGAATTCTGATCTGCAATTAGAACATTTTAAATCAACCCTTGTAGACTGCTGTTACCAATATAAGAACAATAAATTTAGTTACAAAAGCATTCTCACAAAGAAGCATAAGGAAGCTATTAACCTACTTCTTAAGAATGAGACGTTACTGATTACAAAACCTGACAAAGGTTCAGGTGTCGTTCTTCTTAATAAAAGTGATTATATTGAAAAAATGAGTACAATCTTAAATGACAAATCAAAGTTTCAAAAAACAAGTGACCAGAAAGATTTGAATAATAAGATAGAGAATGAGCTTACTAGATCTTTGAAGAAGCTCAGGGACCAACAGGCTATCCCATCGGGTTTATACGAAATGATTAAACCAGTGGGAACCCACCTGCCGAGATTGTATGGATTGCCAAAGGTGCACAAAACGGGGGTCCCATTAAGGCCTATTTTAGATATGTATAACTCTCCTTACCATACTATAGCTAAATGGCTGGTAACTATATTAAAACCTCTACACGAAAAGCTTGTAAAATATAGTGTTAAGGATGTGTTCCAATTTGTTGATAAAATCAAAAACGCAAATACGTTGGGACTAAAGATGATGTCATTGGATGTAACATCGTTATTCACAAACGTCCCACTCATAGAGACTGTAGAATATATAGGTGAACAGCTGATAGAAAATGAAATTGAAACTACGGTCCCTATTAGCGTCGTGAAAGAGTTATTACTCAAATGCACCATGAATGTAAATTTCAAGTTCAACGGTGAAATATATAGACAAACAGATGGTGTTGCAATGGGTTCACCACTGGGCCCTATACTAGCTGATATTTTTCTAGCCAAACTAGAAAATGGTCCACTGAAAAAGATTATTCAGAACTTCACATTTTACTGTAGATACGTGGATGACACGTTCATCCTCTGTAAAGATAATACTTCGCCGCAAGAGGTTCTTAGACGATTTAATGAAGTGCATCCAGCCATTCAGTTCACATCTGAAGAAGAGAATGATGGCCGAATAGCCTTTTTGGACGTTCTCTTGACTAGGAAAGTAGATGGATCGTTAAAAAGGAATATAAACAGAAAAAGTACTTGGACTGGGCAGTATACGAATTTCCTGAGCTTTGTACCTCTACAGTACAAACGAAATTTGATCAAAAACCTTAGCTACCGTATTCGCACTATATGTTCTGCTGATATAGTTGAACAAGAGCTTACCACCTTGCATAATACTCTCAGGGAGAACGGCTACCCTAGAAAGTTTATAATTAAATATATGGTCACGAAGGCGAAGGTAGGCGAAATACAAACAGTGAAGAAGAAATCCTTGTTCATGCGTCTACAATTCAGAGGGGATGCGGCTAGCGAAATACTAACTCAGAGACTACGTAGGACAATACAAAAGTCGTTTAACGCCGGAGAACTGCGATTAGTATTTTCTACGCGCCCAATGGTTACACCGAAGCTAAAAGATGAATTACCTAGAATGACCACATCATTTTGTATTTATCAGTTCAACTGCTCCTGTGGAGCGAGTTATATTGGTCGAAGTTCTAGAAATTTACATTTTCGTGCTCGTGAACACCTTCCAGCGTGGTTGAACAAAGGTTTGATGAAGAAGGTGAACAGCTCAATATTGGCCCATTTAGTACAAACCGGTCATAGTGCTAGTATAAACCAATCTTTTTCAATTATTTATAAGGTAAGTAATTTTTTGCCAAAACTGGTCAGACTGAAAGTCCTTCAAACGGCTGAAGCAGTAGCCATCCGAATGAAGAAACCGGAGCTATGCGTACAGAAGAAATATGTTCAGCCACTCCTCCTCCCCTGGCCAACATCAAGGCCAATTAATCTATCGTAATCTGAACTATTGAATGACCCAATTTGACTATGACCTTTCTTAGTCAATTGTAATTGTCCCTGTTATCTTTATTCATAAATCTTTGTATTATTATTATTATTATTATTATTATTATTATTATTATTATTATTATTATTATTATTATTATTATTATTATTATTATTGGTTAAACATCATTAATCTCCCTATACATGATTCATTCACTTTGCATTCATCCCTCTGTATTACGTCTTACTTATTTGATCGAATTGTAATTGCACTATTATTTCTCTCTCACCCTATTTGACCCATATTTATTCTGATCATGGATCTTAAAATTTCATTTAACATATACACAGATTCAAGTTAACATTTTATATTAGTCATATTAACATTAACAATTTTATTGTATTTTGTTTATCACAATCCCAAATTCACATGCTCTAAACGATGTACTTTACCCTTAACTTGGCCATTTTTCGGATTAATAATTTGGATATATAATTGTAGAACCTGAAGAGAATTTATCGAAAAGAATATTCTTCGTTCAAATATTAGTCTTTTAAATAGAAATAGCATTTCTCTCATATCGATACAAAATATTAGCACTAGGTTCCTTTTAAGTGGCTTATTCAGTATTTAATTTTTGAATTAGTCGGTTAAAATTTAATCAATGAAGTGTAATTATATACTAGTGGATAGTTTATCGTACTAAGATGTTATACACCACAGTTGACTTCTTCTCAGAAAACCTATCTAAAACATTTTGTTGCAATGTTTTTGATTTTATTTCTGAAATGCTACTTTTGGAAATTCAAGAATCGTTTGATGTATTGAGTGTATTACGTTGTACACTTACTGAACACTTCTATAACGTACTAGAGTTTAATCATATGCAAGAAACATAAATTGTTGAATGAAGTATCTTGTTCCAGTTTTATATATGTTTTACGCTAACACTTTTTGCTTGTACCAGTAACTGTGATCACAGTTTTACCACATTTGGAAAATTAGCGATTAATGAACACTAAAAGGTGACCTTACTTTTTAATATTATTGTCAAAAAATATATATTAATGATTCACCTTGCAGATAAGATTTATTTAAAGCTAGGGACAAGCAAACACTTAATTTATAGACCCATTTTTTATTAGCTACCATCCATTCCTTAGTTTTAACTATCATCCAATATCTGAAGGGAACTCCGCCTGGAGTCCCTCCGGAGGCTACTGCCGGTCCCAAGCCCGGATAAAGGAGGAGGGTTGGGCATGGGGTTAGCGTCCCCATCCCGTAGAAAACTAACTCGCTAAAAAAACGCTAACCAGAAAAAATTATTCAAACCTTTTAAACTCTGCCCTGGGAGTCAGAAGATCTTCATTTAGAAGAATTATGACGCCTCATGATGAAAGCCGAATCCCTTCGGAAGTTACGAGGCCGATGCCCCTTCTGACAACCAGAGCGACTATTTATTTAGGTACATGGAATGTTCGTACAATGTGGGACACCGGAAGAGCCTTCCAGATTGCTGCAGAAATGAGAAGATACAACCTAGAGGTACTTGGGATCAGTGAAACACATTGGACACAAGTTGGACAACAACGACTAACTTCAGGAGAGCTCCTGTTATACTCCGGCCATGAAGAAGAAAATGCACCACATACACAAGGAGTTGCATTGATGCTGTCCAAACAAGCACAAAATGCACTTATAGGATGGGAATCTCATGGATCAAGGATCATCAAAGCCTCCTTCAAAACAAAGAAGGAAGGCATTCCAATGAACATCATCCAATGCTATGCGCCTACCAACGACTACAATGAAGACGCTAAAGATCAATTATACAATAGGCTGCAGTCAATAGTCGAGAAGTGCCCAACAAAGGACCTGACCATTCTGATGGGAGATTTCAACGCCAAGGTTGGAGTGGACAGCACTGGATATGAAGACATCATGGGACGACACGGACTGGGAGAAAGAAACGAAAATGGTGAGAGATTTGCAAATCTATGTGCCTTCAATAAGCTGGTCATAGGCGGCACCATATTCCCACATAAACCCATACACAAAACCACATGGACTTCACCGGATCACTCTACACAAAACCAAATCGACCATATTTGCATCAACAAAACGTTCAGGAGGACTTTAGAGGACGTGAGAACCAAGAGAGGAGCTGATATAGCATCAGATCATCACTTGCTGGTCGCCAAGATGAAATTGAAACTCAAGAAGCACTGGACAACGGGGCAGACAGTATCACAAAAGTTCAATACGGCCTTTCTCCAGGATACTAACAAACTCAACAAATTCAAGATAGTCCTCAGCAACAAGTTCCAGGCCTTTCATGATCTACTCAATGGAGAAGGAACTACTATGGAGAGCAACTGGAAGGGGATCAAAGAGGCAATCACTTCAACATGTCATGAGGTCCTGGGTCACAAGAAGCACCATCACAAGGAATGGATCACTGTTGGTACACTGGATAAGATTCAAGAAAGAAGGAACAAGAAGGCAGCAATCAATATTAGCCGAACAAGAGCAGAAAAAGTCAAGGCACAAGCTGAATACACGGAAATAAACAAACAAGTGAAGAGGAGCATCAGAACCGACAAACGTAAATATGTGGAAGATTTAGCAACGACGGCGGAAAAGGCTGCAAGAGAAGGAAACATGAGACAATTGTATGACACGACAAAGAAACTCTCTGGAAATCGCCGCAAACCAGAACGACCAGTGAAAAGCAAGGAAGGCAAGGTAATCACCAACATTGAAGAGCAACAAAACAGGTGGGTAGAACACTTCAAAAAACTCTGAAATCGACCAGCTCCACTGAACCCACCCAATATCGAAGCAGCACCCACGGACCTCACAATCAATGTTGGCCCACCAACAATTGAAGTAATCAGCATGGCCATCAGACAAATCAAGAGTGGCAAAGCAGCAGGACCAGACAACATCCCAGCAGAGGCACTAAAAGCAGACGTAGCGGCAACTGCAAGGATACTCCACATTCTCTTCAATAAGATTTGGGATGGGGAACAAGTACCAAAAGACTGGAAAGAAGGACTCCTGATCAAAATACCGAAGAAAGGCGATCTCAGCAGGGGGGCATCACTCTTCTCTCAATACCGGGAAAAGTCTTCAACAGAGTATTGTTAAACAGGATGAAGGACTGCGTAGACGTCCAACTTCGAGACCAACAGGCAGGATTCCGTAAAGATAGATCGTGTACAGACCAAATCGCAACTCTACGGATCATTGTGGAACAATCAATTGAATGGAATTCATCACTCTACATCAACTTCATTGACTACGAAAAGGCATTTGATAGCGTGGACAGAACAACACTATGGAAGCTTCTTCGATACTACGGTGTGCCCGAGAAGACAGTCAGTAACATACGGAGCTCCTACGATGAATTTAACTGCAAAATCGTGCATGGGTAACAGCTGACAGACTCGTTCGAGGTAAGGACAGGTGTCAGGCGAGGTTGCTTACTCTCACCCTTTCTCTTTCTCCTGGTGACCGACTGGATCATGAAGACGTCAACGTCTGAAGGAAAGCGCGGGATACAATGGACATCTAAGATGCAGTTGGATGATCTAGACTTCGCAGACGATCTGGCCCTTATATCCCAAACGCAACAACAGATGCAGGAGAACACAAACAGTGTGGCAGCAGCCTCAGCAGCAATAGGTCTCAATATACACAAAGGGAAAAGCAAGGTTCTCCGATACAACACAGAATGCACCAATCCAATCACAATTGACGGAGAAGATTTGGAAGATGTAAAAACCTTTACGTATTTGGGCAGCATCATTGATGAACAGGGTGGATCTGATGCAGATGTGAAGGCGCGGATCGGCAAAGCAAGAGCAGCATATTTACAACTGAGGAACATCTGGAACTCAAAGCAACTGTCGACCAACAACAAGGTCAGGATTTTCAATACAAATGTCAAGACAGTTCTACTGTATGGGGCAGAAACCTGGAGAACTACAAAAGCCATCATCCAGAAAATACAGGTGTTTATTAACAATTGTCTACGCAAAATACTTCAGATCCATTGGCCGGACACTATTAGCAACAACGTACTGTGGGAGAGAACAAACCAGATCCCAGTGGAGGAAGAAATCAGGAAGAAGCGCTGGAAGTGGATAGGACACACATTGAGGAAAGCACCCAACTGCGTCACAAGACAAGCCCTCACATGGAATCCTGAAGGTCAAAGGAAAAGAGGAAGACCAAAGAACACATTACGCCGAGAAATGGAGCTGGACATGAGAAAAATGAACAAGAATTGGATGGAACTAGAAAAGAAGGCCCAGGACAGAGTGGGTTGGAGAATGCTGGTCAGCGGCCTATGCTCCATTGGGAGTAACAGGCGTAAGTAAGTAAGTAAGTAATATCTGAAGGGATGATAGTGTTAAGTTCATCTCTGAAGATTTAAGATGCGATAAAACACTTGTTCATCTAAGCTCAGTGGATGTATTTAGAAAGTTGGTCAATTGTTGTTCCTTCAGGTTATTCATGACAGATTGGATTTGACTGGTTGCATTCTTCCATAAAAATGATTAATTTTTGAGCATGTACTTTTTCATACACTACGGTTTATGATCAGGTATAACCTTTGGTTTACCAGATTATTGCACAATCTTTCAAATTATGTTTGATTTCAAATTCATGCGTTATATCAGATGATTCACTCACAGTTTATTAGTAAAAGATGAACCATATATAATAAAGCTCTCTTATTTTGCATTAAAAATTGACATGTACAGGATAACCTAGGTTAGAAAACTCTACATTTCATGTACGAAGCGATTAAAACCAACTAATTTCAATATAATTGGTATTTCATCAGGATTATAATATTCATTATTATGAGTACAAAGATATGGTTTTAGTTTATGGAAAGGGGAATGATAATTTTTTACTCACTACGTTTTATATTTTTCACTAAAACCATTATCTACTACATACAGATTTTGATTTGGTACTAATTTCTTGTAATTTTTATTCTTAATGCCAAGTAAATATTATTTTTAACTTGTCAAAGGGTTTTAGACATCGATTTTGATTCAGGGAAACTATTATCGATCTGAATTCAATGTTTCTTGGTATGTTTATCTCGCCTGTCATTTAGGGATTAATTCGTATGTCTATATACAGCTTATTCATTCTTGAAATATAAATTCTATCCCCTATTGTTTAAATTCACATGAATACACATAATAACGATGCAATTAAAGTAAAACTAATTGAAATACTAAATTCAGTACGCAACTCATATATAAAGTCGCACTTTCGCAGACATAGATGAACAGATAAAAATCGATCAGTTCGATTAATAGAAATGATTATCGATGAGTATATTTTAGTCAACTAATTATTTATTTATTAGAGGGGTTTGTATAGGGTTCTATAATAATTTACTAGTTTTTCTGACCTCAAATCTTTGTTACTTGATAATAATGAAATACAATGGCTAAGAAAGATGGGAATTTATTTTATTTTAATGAATATGTTTATATAATTTTCAAATCGTAAGAAAGAAAACGAAATAGAGTAAAACGGATAAATTTATTTGATAAACACTATTGGGTCTTCATATTGCTGTTGCTATTAAACATTACTAAAATGTAACGGTCTTTAGGGCTCTGAAAAGTATGAGGATTTACTTTATCGGGCATAATATTGTTTCATGGGGTTTTCCAACATACAAACAACTGTTCTGAGAAACGTCCTGTATCTTAATGAAAGTTGATAGATATTTAATTCCGTGCAGTTATTAAGAGATTCCCGAGGAAATTAATAGGAGGCAATTCGCTCAACTTTTACTGATTAAATATACTGAGTTAGAATAAAGTATAAAAAACGATCGTAATAAAATAACACATGTAAATTAACTTTGTTGCCCGGATGTTTCTGTACTAACGGAAAATAAAGTACGTCTATCCAATTTTCCCGACGAAATAAAACAAAAGGGCACAGTGTTTTATATTTGAGCACTTCATTGTGAAGAAGAGAATATAAATTGAGAAGCTTTAACATCTGTTAATGATGAAATTTATTTATTAAGGTAAGTTTCAAGCTGCTGAAACGTGCATATGAGCACATGGACGTCATGGCTGAATAAGTAGATTAGAAAACTAAATTAGTTAATGAAGAATGAACAATTCAAACTAGTCTAAAGGAAAGATGAATCCATTCAATAGCATATAACTAACTGTGATTCTGATTTATTTTCACTTTTTGAAATACTGAGTAAAAGACTCTTTTGCGTCCTAAGTGTTGAGAAAGATTGTTAAAATATTCTGTTAGTTCACAAGTAATTGCCAATGGAGCTGCCTGTATTGTGTTGCGCTTATTGAACATCTAAATTTATTAATTTGAAATACTACATGGGGAAGATGGGCTTTGGATTATCAGCAAAACTTTATGACCCATGTAAACGTTCAATGCCATAAACAAATATACTTCTATTCGTTATGCTTTTATAATCTTCTGAAAAAAAGATTTAACAGTAGTGAGGTGAACCATTCTGTTTACAAGGAAATAACGGATAAACAACTAAACAAGCATAAAACTGCTGTTTAATTTTATATGCTACTTATGTGTTTATTGTCACGTTGCAGAAAACACTTTGAGTATTTATGATAAAAAGTTGCCTTAAGTGTTCTTACGATGAAAAATTAGACGAAAATTCGTGTAATTTCTGTCAAATAAAATATACTATCTAATCTTCAAAACAAGGTCAGTGTAATGCTTCTGTGTGTGAACACAGGATGGTTTGCTAGCTTGGATTATATTTGTCTTTAGTTGCATTGATAATACAACAATAAATTAAGCAACTTGAATAGCTTTGTATACCTATGAACAAAGTTAGAAGTCTCAGAAATGTTTTCAATATTGTCGGTTTTAAATTTTATTTACTTAGAGTTAGAGAAAACTTTTCTTGCTGACATCTAAATACCAAATAACCATATTGCTTATATCCGTGTTTCCAGCTTGCTGATTCTTATGTTTTTAAAGACTAAGTCCGGAAAATAGATCCAATATGTAATTATTTTGGTTGTTGTTGGTTTCCAAAACCGTCAAAACGTATAAGGTCAACGTTTCAGTATACTTTCACTTACTGTGGATGTAAATAACTTTAAGTCATATAAATTCCCCAGCAAATCCTCGAGAAAACCATTCCTTTTGGAGTAGCATTAAGACCCTTGGCTGTAGAATAATCTTACTACAGGTCAGCTTATCTTTGCCTTATTTCATGTCAAGAATTATTTGTATGGTTTATTGAAGTTAGTCATTTATGGAAATTCTAACATTAATACTTTTGTGTTATAATTTTACCTACTTACTACGAATTAAGTACTATAAACAGTAATTTCCATTACAAATCAGGTTATGTGTTAGATAGTCAGGTTCGGTTAGTTTTGGATATGAAAAAAATAGTCATAGTCGAAGATAGGTTTAATATAATCCGACAAATCCATGAAAACTCTCCGAGCAGTTAAATTTTTGAATGAAGCAAGGAAGTATTTGTTTGGATTATCTATTTATACACTTTGACACAGTGCTTGGGAAAACGTGTGTTAGACGCTTATGGTAATTTAATCGTTCTACATGTCATATTATTAACATTCCTATGAGAAACAAATGCTCTTGTGCATTATCGAATGTACATTAGCTGTTTGCAGTACTCTCATGTATAAGCAGGCTTACTTAGTTATATCTGTAACTTGTAATTTTGATATTAAACGTTCTTATGTTGATTATGCAGAATTGGATGAAGATACTCATCTAACTGAATCAATACAAGCTGATCAAAATGAATCACATACTTCCGAAGCTACCCAAAAGCCTATATTTCCTGATAACAGTTCAAATGTTTCACAATCAACTTCATCCGTTGAACTGAAAAGCATATCTGAAATGTTATCAAATGACGAAAACATAACCACTACCTCTGAACTCCAATCGGAATCAGTTGGTCCACAAAGAGGCCGTACTGTTACAAGATGCAATGTTGT